GCATATACTGATGCTTCCTAGACCCATTTTGGCAGAAGACTTATGCACTGGGCCATCCTTTTTTCCTTAGTTTCACTGAAAGCCCAATTCTAAGTCCAAAAGACTGATGATAGTTGGGTAGAACATTAAATTGCAACCAATCATGACCAGTGAATAAAAGAGTAACCACCACAAGTCATAGTTCTCATCTATTTAATATTGGACACACTGTCTGTTCCCCACATTGAGCTCTACTGAGAGTATCATCACTACCAAATCAAGGTCACTACCAAATGAAGTTATGTAATATCATCACCAAAGAATGGAATCATAAAAGATTAGCATGAGATTGTAACTTATTTTAATTAAAAAAGGATTTTTAGTATCTTTAATGATCTTAGGTAAATCCATTTAAACAAACATAAAAAAACTCAGTAAAAACACTTGGACTTCTGGAGATCCAGAACTAGAAAAGATGGTTCCTCAGGAAATATTTCAATCTATTTGTCCATCTGTTGATCAGGAGGCATCATTTTGACACCAAATTGAGTTAAATCACATTCATTGGTCAAAATACCACATTAAAAAGCCTTCCGAATGACAACCCATATCTTTATACTATAAACAAAAAGCCTATGCTTCTTAAAAAATAAAAGATGGAGTAGTGGCTAAAATCTGCAGAGTCTTCAAACACAAAGTGTTTCAATAAAACTGCTAAAAGTAGATAAAATTGCCAAAAATAAACCAAGATGGTTTGGACATGCTAATGCTAATTATAAAATGCTGCTGAAGCAAAGAAAAAAAAAACAATGTTCTCTGGAAGGTCCAAGAAACACTTGTTGAAAACTGATAATGCTTCATAATCACAATGATGCTACAGAAACGAGAAGGTTATTGATTTAATAACAACGATAAACTCACAAGCTATGTATTTTGGCTTCTTCAAACCCACAGCAGCAAACTTAAATCCCGACATCATGTCATTGAGCACTTGATCAATTAAGTAATCAGTCAGCTAAACATAACACAAATGAAAAAGAACTTCTTTCAACTATTTTTCCTTTAACTAAAAAAGTCTCAGCATATTCCGTAAGGAACTTCTTAAAAGAGCATGATACCAGAAAAACACCCAAGATATGCATCCATCAATCCAAGACAATTGCCCAAGAATCATAATTATCAGAACACAATTAGGCAACGACCTGAAAAGTCTCGGATCACTAGTTGGACCACTGGGTCAATTAAGTCAGACCACATATTTAATAAAATATTTTATAAAATAGAATATAGAAATAAAAAAATACTAAAGAACTTCAAAAATTAAGAGGTTTGCTAGATTCCAAAGTCTATAGCCCATTTTCTTTAATTCTTCTCCTTTTTTTGTTGTTAACACTCTAAAAGATAAAAATGGCACCAGCTAATGACAATTACCAACAGAAAAAGGGAGGTTTTTGATCATTTTTGGGGCATTTTAAAAGTTGCAGAGTATGGATTTGACCAGCAGAATCTTCCCATACATAAAAAACCATCCGATTGGACTTGATTGAACATGATTTCTGACATTGGACTTGATCAATTTGGTCTGGTCCAGTTGTTTTAACTATGCCCAAACTAATACCTTCCTTGTAATTGCCACCATATAATTTAAACATAAAAACCATTTCCACATTTCATAGATTTAGACGATAAAATGAACACGGCAAGAGCTACATACAAACTTATATGCAAGAAACCAGATAATCTTGCCGCATCTCTTCCACACTTTCTATAAGGAAAAAAAATGACAATATTCCAACCTACAATTATCCTCATCTTACCAAAAACCAACTTGCATCTTGCACAAGTAGATAAGCCCTACAATAAAAGCATGTGCCACCATGTTCTAACTCCTCATACCACACGTTACTACAGATAAAGTACTAGTGAGTAAATATAGTAAAGCATATGTTTTAGGCAACACGCATTTTGCAGTTTAGTCTCACCCGCTTTGCAGGAAGTTGGCATGTGATATTCCCAAAAGATATAGACAGAGGATAACTAGCAAATAAGCATATTGCATGAAACACTAACCAACACAGCGTTTACTATTAATTAAATGACACAATAAATAGAGAATATTCACCCAGTTCTAGAGTTGGATTACAAGCAGTACTTTACCATCATTATAATATTTACCTTTTCCATCTTCCACTAGCATAATCACCATTGCCGACACGTTCCTTTTTGGGTGTTAAATCAGTGGCAGCTCCAGGCTCCACAGCTAGACCAGAATCCACCATCATCTTTACAACTGCTCTAGATCAACCCTGCTTCTTAGGCAGCTCAAACCAAGCTTCGTACCTTGAGCACAACCCGACCCCTCTACCCCGTCTTCCTTAGTAGTGGAACCCTTGTTTTCTTTGTCCGATCGACAAAAAATGTCTACGCCAGCATTACATACCATCTAACTTGCCTGATGAGTGTCCACAATACCATAACATCTCATGCAACAAAACGAAGAGGGAAAGAATTGAAAGCGGGCTACAAAATGAAGATTGCAGTGTCGCAGTCCGGCACACAGAACAATTCTTTTACCACTCAAGACGTAGTCTATTTGAAACAGAAGACGAAAATAGTAAGACTCCCTACGTGGTTTCTGATGCAATTTCTTTCCTCCAAAAATCGCACCAGGGCTCCGATCATCCCAATTTTAGGCTCGGTTTGGCTAATGGCTCCAGGGAAAAAAACGCATGGATACGAGAAATTTCAAGAAAACGATCCTCAAATCCACAAACGGAACCTTCTTATCCAAAACCACATCGATCTGAGATCAGCGGACGCAGAAAGGAGGCCGTGAGCCCCGCAAATCGTACCAGGCTGGCGCAAGAGAGAGCGATCAGATTCAAGATCTAGAATTCGACTTGGGTTCCGGAGAGGGCGGCGGCGATCGGAGAAAACCCTAGAGAGAAAGGGGGATCGGGCGATGGGAAGTGGTGGTTGCTGGGGGTGCTCTTTTGGTTTTTTTTAGCTCGAAATAATTGGAGCGGGAGAGAGAGAGAGAGAGAGAGAGAGAGAGAGATGAGGAGAACGTGGCGCGGTGGTGGCAGTAGCGTTATATCGGCCTTCGTACCGGTGCATGCCCAACACCACCGATGCACCGTTGTGTACAGATCGTAACGTAGATTTATGCTCGCTGGTAGCATCTGATGTGACAAATATGGATGTCAATAACACTTTAGTTAATACTTGCATCCGTGACTCGATTAGATGAATTAGAGTTATAATTAAACAAAAGATAAATGTTTTATGAAAGTTTCGTATTGTCTTAGGTATTTTGTTTTAAATAATTCAAAGGAAAAATAAAAAATAATAACTTATTTGTTGAGGGAAATAGTTATTAGCGTCCAAGTCAACACGATGTAGTCGGAACCCGTATGCATAGGGTTGGTCAAGGTATATCTAAGGTAGAAATGTCGAGCTCTCGTTATGTCACTTGCTCCATAACCGAAATTAGAAGAGGTTTCCCGACCTGATTCTTCTGATACCCAAGCTAGTAAATCGAGTTATACGAGCGTAAATACTAGTTATAAACAAAAGTAACCCTCATCTTCATTAAATATGAGCTTTTATACATCATCATAAAGGGATAGAATGTAGAATATTTTATGGGGATGTAGCCTCTAACCATCTTTAAGAGCCTTCCCTTTGACCTCTTATCCACGGGGCCAATAAAAAGGGACAACTCATAACGGTTTGCCTTAGACCCTTGCCTACGTGAGTAAACGAGGGGAAGGTGACCTTCATCTTCTCCTTTTATCTTGGACACCACATGATGGTTAGTATCATATAACAATTAGCCAACGATATACTCCCTATCATTTATCCCACCCCCCTAGGCATGATTGGAGACTCTTATAAGAGGGGTCTGAAATGTGACATCTAGTTCATCCAACTTGTCAAGCTTTTACCTCTTTGATCCATTTGTCGACCTAATGACATGTTTAGTTTTTTAGACACGAGTCTATCCAACATGTCCGTCCGAGATCACCTCCCCCCAACACTATTGATGGTGATCCATTTACTGACCTATCCCTCGTATCGTCGAGAGACGTACATTAATCGGATGAGGTCGGGTTTTGGGAGTGGGAGCTAACCTTACGAGAGCTATTAAGTGTCGACAAAGGATCACCCAGCTCTACAAACCAAGAGAGGAACTATCTAAGTGGTTGGTCAGTGATCACTTGCATAATATACGTTTAAAAACAAGGGTGAAGCTTTTCGACCACCAATACTAATACAAATACGAGCCTCTCGATAGGGGGGTATCATTCCTTCGAGGCAACCTTTAACTACCTCTTCCAATCTCCCTTTGACCTTTTGTCCACGTGGGTGACAAAGGAGGGACAGTTAATAATCGTCTACCTTGGATCCTTGCCCACGTGGGTGACAGACGAGTGAAAGATAATTTTTATATTTTTTTCTTTTACTTGAACATCATATGATTATATATCGGATGATAATTAAACGGCTGGACCTCGTGACAGTGGAAGATGGTGATACGCCAGTAATCGTCATGCAGGTGGTGGGGGTTTATCCTATCGTAACTACTGATCTCAATCCTCGACCCAAACAAGCAATTGATTCAGACCAATCATACAAAACTATATGATGGATAGACGCTTTGATGAACTCTCTTCTCTTGTGGAGTTACTCAATACCAATGTGGCTCGTAATTTATGTTAGCACAGCCAACAGACGATACCAAAAAAGAAATTGCCAATTAAATTAAATATATCTTAAAAAGCTGAAAACAACTAAAATTATCTCAACAAAAAAATTATGATCCAAGTTAATATATTGATCCGACCTTCCCTTGGTCAAAGCTGGTCAACCTAATTATCAAAACATTATGTTCTTCCATGTCTAATGCCAACAAAGGGGTTCCAACACTTTCTAGTTTTCAGCACAAGAAAAACAAATACCAGCAATTGATAAAGATTATTTAGCTAGCTTTCTGCATCTGTGTCCATAACACACATCCACACGTAAATTTTTTTTCAGCATTAAACGTATATCGGTTCTTACAGCGGACACGAATGAGGTTGTGGCAAAAGTGTTTCTATTATTCCCAGTAAAACAATCTGCTGCTATAAACCAAATTGCAAACCTACTTGCTTGTTTATATACATATGCATGATTCTCTGGACTGTTTCTTTAAAACAGGTCAGTGGTATGGGCCTTCGGCGAAACTCTCAGCTCCTTGGGTCAGCAGATTGTTTGGCATGTGAAGATCTCATGACTGGAACATCAGCATGCGCTGAAAGAGGCTGAAAGCTGGAATTGGCAACAAACCACAGCTGGACCCATTTAAGATTGCATAATGTGTACTTGAGAGCTTTTGTCCAATTCTCCTGCTTGTTGAAGCTATGGGTGATTGTGTAGTTCCCCACATTGTCATTCTCAATTCTATCAGAGAAGAAAATGGACGACTCATTAAACCAGTGGCAATGGGCTGCCGACGATGTATAAAACCCACATCAACCACATCATGCAATTTAAATTGTCTCCCATAGCGGGACTAAACTAGTTCCAATGCAACAATGCTTAAAACCAAGCAAAATGTTAATGGACAATAGGAAAAAGTTTCATTCCACAAATAACGTATAATCATGGTGTACCAAAATCTCACTTGTTGTCAGAACAAAGTATTCAAACCAAAGAATGCCCATGTAGCCAGAATTTTAGGTTCCAATTTTGAAGCACATAAGCTAATTTGAAGTGAAGTAAAAAAAGATGGAAATTTTTGGGTAAACTATTTTGTTTGGGCCTGATTAATGAGGACATACATTGTGTAGGACCAGATTTGAGGACCTCATACACTGTGATAGTAGCTCATGTTTTTGCATCTTCATAATCCAAATTAAGCCTACTTTATTATTATTATTATTTAACCTTTTTCTTTTTTTGTTGAGGACAGAAGATCAGATTGATAACTTTGGTCTCGTGAGAACCCCATGAAGGTATACTCAGTCTAGGATAAGAAATTTTGGCTGCACATGCCATATGCAATAAAGTCCGTTTTGCACTACACGGATCTTATAAAATCTCCAGTATTACGAATTCTTCTAGGATCAGGATATTCCACAGAACAATAAAACATTTACACTCAAAATGCTCCTCGAAAAAATAACAAGATCATGACAATAAAAAGTGTACTAATGCCAAAGATGCACATGGGGCAGGGCTAAATACATGTAAACCGTTGGAAATTTAGTGCATAAGTTAATGATGCAAGAGTAAACATACATGACCTTACTTGCAAATAGAACATGTTAATTGACAAAAAATAGACAAGACGAAGAACCTAAGTCATGAACTAAACAAGTGAAACTTGGCAGATGAAATAAGCAGTTTGTGCAGCTCATTTAAAAAATAATCATCATATAAGAGAATAACTTAAAAACAGAGAATCATTCATTTTCATTAATTAGCTATAGAGAATTTAATTTCATTAAGATTGCACGATGAGCAAAGTAGTCTAATTAAAGAGAAGACCTACTTGTATGGCAGTCTAAAGCATTTCTCAGGAGGTGTATTATTTTCTTGGTCCTTCAGATTTGCAAATTCTGCAAACTCTTTGAGGCATGTCAAAAACAATGTCGTTGCTTTGTCATAGCGACTGCTCCAGAACAAATTCACAGGACCAAACCTGGCAACAAAAGAGATTAAATCTCAACATTTACATGCTAGTAAACAACCACAAGACTACAAATTCGGGAGAAAGAGGTAACAGTGGATTTCGGTGAAGGCTTTTTGCACCACTTAGACAAAGAACAATGCCCACAGATTGCTTCCATGCATCTGAATTATTATGAAGAGTTCCTAAACACTTAACACATGAAAAGTGATATATTTTGATGTTATGAGCCTTCCAGGAAACAAGCTAGACCCTTCAGTTCTAGGCCTCTTTGGTTGCACAATCTGATTCCATTTTTTCTGATCAAAGTAATTTATGGATCTCATATAACCTACGCACTGAATAAAGGAAAAAAAAAAAGGGTTCGGGGTCAGCTACTTTCCATCTTTTAATATATCAATTGGATATTACAACAGACTATCCAGAAATGCTAATCTTAGATGCAAACCATCTTGTAGCTTCATCATGAACACAACATATTTATTCGATCATATCTTCTAAAATTTCCTTCGGTTTTCTGATTCGTCTATCAAGTTCAATATCCAAAGAAGTCTTGATCTACTAGCAGTACCAAGAACAGCAGCAATTAGTTATCATTTATGACAACATTTATTGTAGTCTGCTCTTATTTCACATGCTCCAGTTATGCAAATACTAAAGAAACCTTAAGATATGTAGCTATTATTTCACCTCCTCATATCACTATGATGTAATAGAAAAACACAACAAACTCCCAATGATGATAGACAAAGAAGTAAACTCAATAGATTTCTTAAGCAGTGGGGAGTTCAACAAAAGAACCAAGAACTAGTAGTGTACTACGTGACAGCATGGGACGTTGTGGTCATAAAGCTTATGAAATACAATTATGATATCTCTTTGCAGGACTTCACAAAATATAGGAATCTTTCTATCTACCGGAAATCTAGTGAATGATGAATTAACAGATCAAATCGGCATGCTTAAGTGTAAACATCTGTATATAGAATAACTTAACAGAAATCAGTAAAATCAGTAGACTTTAAAATATTATGCAGAAGAGGTGAGACTAACTTCACTTACAGTTGATATGCATTATTGTTATTGTCCAAAATAAGGGGATAGCTTCCCATCGGAAGAATCTTTATTCGATATCTACCAGATATACGTTAAGGAACGTGATGCAAGTAACCATGAAGAAAATTGACTGTCTTCTGCTTGGATCGAGCTTGATGGGACAAAAGCTGGAATGAAGAAATACTAATATGCAGGATTGCAACCATGCAAAATCAGAAGTATAGACCTAACACTATGTCCAAAAACATATGACAAAAAGAGGGATAAAAGCAGAGAAAGGGTCCCCAAACATTTCAAGAGCAGAGAATTGGAATGTGCATGCCCGTCATATTGATGCATAACACAAATCACAAAGATGCAAAGAAAAAAGTCTAAAAAAGCAAACTTACAACAATGGTGAGTACCAAAAGATACAATTAAGGTTTCCTTGTGACTAAGAAACCAACCATAACCAGCAACCTCAAAAAATCTCACTTATGCAGTCAATCAACTTCATAAGATTGTAAAACACTGTCAAAAACCGTTTGATGGAAAAACAACAATAAAGACTGTCTACATCTGTAACCTTAAGGATAATGCACCAGATATTTTGTTGTCAATCAATATGGCAGCCATAAGTCTGCCTTATAGCATGAATTGGTGTTAGCAGAAAATCATATTGGGATAACCGTCCCATAATCCAACACTTTCTCTGCAAGGATATGTCCCAAAGTAGAAAATCGTGTACATTTCTTCATAAAGGTCACCAAAAAACAAAGTTTCATACCAACTCAACAAACATAAACTCAAAAAAGCCACAAATCTGAAGAGTAAAATGGTTGAATTGGGCAACCCCCATCAAGTGTTCGCTTGAAAACAGGTTGAAAATGAAGCTATCTCAAAACTCTCAATTAAAATACATTTTCAGAATAATCACATATTCATGGACATGCTTTACAACAACATAAAAACAACATGGACTGTGCAAACAGATATAAATCAGTTGAAAGATACAGAAACTTTGGCCGAAAATGTTGAGCCATGGTATGTAGAAGAAGACATGCCTGGCCCCAAGCAGCATTTATTTCATCCCATTCAACCTGGAGATCAACTGAATGGTCAATGAAAAAAAGAAAAGACCAGCTGAAAAGATGGAAAATCATTATAAATGACAGAGTGCATCATGCATAACTCCGGCACAAAATTACATGGTTGGTGATTGACCAACAATGCAAAATTGCACCAAAATAAGAAAGGATCAAGAAACAAATAGAATAAATCTAACTGAAGAAAGTAAAACAGTTTAATATGTCCTATCGATTTTGTTAAATATAGTAAAGCAGAAGACAAGTATTTAAGGAGCTTTAATAAAGAATATTGAGGAACTTTTTGCCCAGTCCTGGTGTAGCATACCCGCATCTTAGGAAGACGGCCAAGTCGAAAGTTGTTAATAGTTCCAAATTCTCCCTCATGTGAAATAGAGAAAGCATCAGTTAGCACATTAATTCGCTTCAGTAATTCTAAGTGTGCTTGTGAAACTTCTATCTTGGCTAATAGAGCATCTCTCTCTTCCTGACATGTTGGAGAAAAACTCAGTAACAACCAAGATAAACAAAAAAAAATTAACAACTATAAAGTCCTAATACATGAAATATGTAATATATGTTTCCTAAACTATGACTGCCATATAATGAGGCCAAAGGCAACAGCCTGCCACTATTTTTTCAAGAAAATTCAGCATCAGAGGCAAATATTATAATTTTTGAATCAGACAATACAAGAAACAAGATTAGTCAAGTTGCATATCAGACAATTAAATAATGTACCCTAAAAATCTGCATTAAGCTCCCAATAATCTTAGGCCAGGCAACTACTGCAGTAAATAAATCAGTCCATCTATATTATCTTTTCTATAGGAGTATGTAGCATCAAAGAAAATGGTTCTGCAATTGTAATTTTACATAGTTAATTTACATACTGAAAGATAATATAGTGATCTGCACAAAGACCATGCAGCACTGTCAACAACCAACAAAAATCAATTATGTATCCGTCTAAATCCACCATTATCAAGATCAGATCTAAATAAATTCACTACTATCAATTCTCGATAGAATTTTTTTTTCCAAAGGGTAAGTGATGAAAGCAAGATTCGAGCCCAAGAGCCTGCGATTGTCAAGAACTTTACCAACTAAGCTAGCTGACATGAAGGCCTTGAAGTCCATATGCCATATTACAAGCATGAACCTTGCCATGTTTGTTTTATGTTAAGTATCTTTTTAACCTCTATTAAGAGAGCATCCCAATAATGATCATTTATGGTTATATGAAAAAAAAATTGCACAATTAGAGAACATTTTTATGACCAATCCTGGTACTAAGATCAAAAGAATCTTGACCATGGTACCAAAGGCTCACCTTTAAACATGGTCTATGAACACTTTGTTGAAATACTTTTAGAGCCTTGGTGATATAATTAAGTACTGAAGGATGGAGAAATACACAAAGTCATGCTACTATTATATGCACCAGGAGATATTGCAAAAAATATTCTAAGCCATAACAACTCCACAAGCCTTACCAAAAATTACACACCACATTCAGAAGCATTTTAACAAAACGAAAAAAACAGAAGCATGCATAGTCAACACCACATCTACTTTGCTTTGATGTGAGAAAAGTTTAAAACTATTTAGGTCCTAGACACAAGCCTGAATAAAGCCACTGGTCTTGGACAGCACATGACAAATGATTATTAAGCTAAATGGAGACATAATCAAAATGAGGGAAGTTATTTTTATTCCAAAGCAATATAAACTCATAATTGAAAATTTTAGGATTTTACAGAAGACTACCTGATGAGAAATCAGTTGGAATTGGAAGGAGTTGAACTCATGCCAATAGCTGTATAAGAAACAACAAAAATATCTCCAAATTATTTGATAGTAATGTAAGGCATGATCTCAGAATTAAATCAACATATGAACCCAAAAATCTGAGTTGATAGGAAGGGCTATAAGACTCTAGTTGAAGAAGGATCGAGGGTGTTAAACTTGTTCATGACACAGTTTTGGTCACAGGATCGCAAATGCAACATGGAAGTGAAAATTTTATGCTTAGATTCACAATTTTGGACCTATCCACTGTGATCACAAATAGGATACATTTATTCAAGGTTTTAAAGACAAGGGTCCTGTATGAACAAGTTAATATTGTTAACATGTCTGACTCCATAGTTATCCATAGGTTCACAATTTTGAATTCCATTTACTGTGGTTACAGGTTATAATTTGGGCAAGGGAAATTGCTTATACAAGCACAATGTTTTATTTTATGGTTTTAAATCCACCAGCTTATGAATGCTTGTATGGAAAAGTTGATAATGTTATTATGTCTGACATCATATTTATTCACAGAAAAAGAAATGGCACATTTTCCTTTGTGTTCTCCTCCAGATCCTCTTCCCTCCTCTCCTAAAACCAAATGACAAAGTGGAAATTAAAATACATACCGCTCCTCTAACTCTTCAAACTCCTTGCATTTCATTTGTATCTCATTCAGTTCAGCATTAGCTTCCAAACGCTGCTTCTCAATTTCTTCAATTTCAACCTGAAGCCTTCTCTCTTCTTCCTCAATCTAGTAGTTTTTATATCAAAGGTGCTTAGAAAAGGTGAATTAATGAAATAACACTGCATAAAACAATATACTTGCTATCACATTATCATTCATAGATTTCTATTCTCATTAATTTAAACAAATTTACTGAATCAACTATATTACACCCATATAAGATATAATGTGATTTTAAGTTGGCTGTTGGTTGCTTTACATAAACCCTCCTTTTCTGGTCATGAGACTGAAATTGAAAAGGATTTAATAAAAAGCATGCACTGGCAAAATTGTGGCTGAATTAAATTGTGACATTATGACTTGTTATAGTCTATCATAACATGACATGAAAGATAGAAATTTTCAGAACCCTTTTGCACCATCAAATATTTCTTTTGTTAGCAATCCTGATGATTAAGACTTAGTGACTGAAGTCTAAGGATTTAACACACCTAAGAGTATTGTTAAAATAGTCTAAATTTATCATTTGATGTCACAAGGAGTCACTTCCTAATTTAAGTCTCTTTTATCTTCTTCATATAATTGTTGAATATTTTTGGTTTTTCTAAATACATGTACAGAAAATCAATATGTTGGAGAAAAATAATGAAGAAGGCAAATGCAACTTCAGACATTGAATATCAATCATATAAATGAATTTATCCATAATAAGATTTGATTCTCAAACTTAAGCATTAAAATCATAATAAAATCATAATGCAATGCAAGTCTCTGATGATGAACTTGTTCTAGGTTGTAGAATTAAACCAAAAGCAAAAGAAATAACACGAAAATTCAGTAAATTTCTCATATTTTTCACAATATATATTCAACACCTATCTTCTCGAAAAAGGGTTAACAAACCTTCCTGAGAATGCAACTTCAGAATTTAAGGGGCCTAAAATTTCCAACTGGATCTAGAAAAATGTGAAACTTTCTTTCTTCGTTTGGATACACTATCTATAAAGGGAACAACTACCAAGTATTCTTTTTCTGTTCTCCTAGGAATATGGATCTCAATTAACCTTCCCTTCTCTTAATAAAAAGAGTACATCAGAGAAACTATAAAATTCTATTGCAACAGGTTTGGTAAGCATTCAGCATTCAGCATTTCAGCTAGACCTTAGGGCCCTAAGAGGGGGATGACAAGTGAACTGAAATTATGTATTTCTTACCATCTTTCAGGTCTTTTTATTTCTCAGATTCTTGAAATTGGCCAACTTTGGCTTATAACTATGGCCATAATCTCTTCAAATGCAAGACCCTTTCTAGCATCCTGAGACTAGGATAGCCCATCCATCAGGTTTTAGATGATCTAAGAAGAGGAGAAGACGTAAAGAAGAAAGTTTCTCTTAGGCCTGTTTAGGTCTCTTTCAGCAACATGCTTCAGTCACAATATGGATATGCATTAAAACCAAGCCAAAATGCATATACTTGAGCATTACCTTTGTTTTCTCTTGTAGAAAGTCAGCCTCACTAAGAACATCATCGGATTCCATTTCAAATCGTTGAAGACATGATTCATAGGCTTCAATGTCTTGGTTCACATCTTCAACCTCTTCAAGAAGTTTATCTGACAACAGTCTTATGCATTCCAAACAAATAGGTTGCTCAACCTACAAGGAAGTGTATGAGAACTAAAGAACTGTTTCTTCAAAAACAGTAAACATAGTATTCGAAGAAAGAGGTGTTTGAGAACTGGTAGTCAACTGCCAATACCTGCGTCTGGGATGTTGCAATATTAAATACCCTTTTCAAGATTTTGCTAGAGTTGAATCTTGGGTCGTTGACCTGCAAACCACTGCTAGGACTTTCACCTTGGACCTGTTCTTGGGATCCCCTCCCTTCAGGTGTAGACTCACTCCTGTACATTGAAGCAGCAGCAGGTGGTAACACAACAAATGACTCCGTGACTACCTTTGCAGAGTGGCTACTGTCTGGTTGTGGAGTAGTGCTTCGTGGTAGCACCACAAACGAATGATCCACTTGGCTAGAGCCCATCACGCTTCCCTGAACAGTAGAAGCTTCCATGCCTACATGCATTCATAGTGCAAATCTTAATTTTATGCCACACATTTCGATCAATATGCAAAACATCACAAATTTTGAGCCAAAAAGATGGTCCTTTTAAGCATCGATCACCTTACCAGTTTGCACCAATGTATTGACTAGTCGTCAGTATGGTACATACCGAACCATATTGATGTATCGACACATAGTATGGTAGGGTGTATTGACAAATTAATATGTACCACTTGTACCGGTCCCCTATTAGACCAGTACATACCGCTTGTATTGGGCAATACGTCACGGTACGACAAACCTTGCTTTTAAGCCTCGTTCCAAACAAATTATATTGCTGCATTTTAGACACCCAGACACTCATCCGATCAAGGAGAGAAATCTCACAAGAAGGAAGCAAAGGAAACAAGCTTATTTTGGATAAACAGAGTCCAGGTCAGTGACGGTTTGATATAAACACCAAAAAAGTAGAAGAATTGTACTCAAATTGCTAACAATTTCAAACGACCATGCCAATTATAGTCAAACGACCACAACCGATCCTCCGTGATCAATTTATGCTAATCCTAGGTTGCTACTAACAATTTCAACCAGAGATTAAAGAGAAGAGAAGACGAGACCGAAGATGTCAAGAAGGAGAAGAAACTCTAACCGGAGCAGGAAGGGTTGCTGAAGAACTTGTCATTCTTGGAATCGACGTTGATGACGTGCAAGGCGTGGCGACAGCTCTGGCACACCCATCTGGGGATATTGGGATCCATCGAGAAGTTCCTCTATCACACCCTAGATTTATAAAATAATAAATTATCAATTTCAAATTTTATAATTTACAGAAGATTTTTTTATTTTGAATTCAAAATCCTTATCTTCATAACACTAAATATTTTAAACTGAAAAAGAACTACAACTTCTTGGTAGGGTCACAAATGATTAAAGTCTCTTCCACCCAAGCCTTGTTTCTATTACAAATTAATAGGTTACTCCGACAACAAATACAAGATAAAAACATATCAACATCCATATATGCTGGTAGGAACCTCTAAAGAAAATCATCAAAATAATCTTTAATACTCATCAAATATATTTAAATATTTACAATTTAATATGACATGATAACATATTAATTTATTATGAAATTTTTGTATCAAATCAACAAAGATAATTCTTATGCAACAAACAAAATCATGAATCAATCTCATGCACAACATCACGATGACATACATAACAATTAAACAAAAAAGTCGTACATCAAACACTCGATGGTGCACTCTCCTAATAGCGAATTGAGAGTTATACTCCATGAGATAGGTTTTATATTCTCCCAACAGTAGATAGAAAGAACCCATATCGCACTCCCAACAGTAGGTGGAGATGTATCCCTCACCCGCACATGTGGGGACATGTTTCTTCCACCAGAGGATGGAGGAACCGTCTAGCCATCACATATGATGACCCGCTCATCTCCGAAGGAAATCACCCTACCTATCCTCGGCAATAATACATAATCATCTATGATCATTCATTTACATTCATCCATTCTCACGCATGCATTCAAAGGATTAATATGATAAAGTAACAAGAGAGACTATGCTTAGTGTATGACCTGCTAAACTATGTCCATTGGTGGCTTCACACTATGATGGACTTGTAATTCCTTTTACATAGTGCACTTTCAATGTGAACCGCTCAACATAGCCCACATATACCATATGATAATAATCATAGTAATATCATGATCATCAACTTAATCTCAAAAATAATGGAGAACCACTAATTATTTCCAAATCACATATTTAAATAAAACTTTAAGTTCATCATATCATAAAGACATGAGGTATCAATCACTCAATAACCCTCAATCGACTTAAACCCTAATTGGAATAGCCCAATTAACTTGAATCAAACTCCATTCAACTAGGACCTACTTGAATCAACCTCTAATCCTTATTAAACCGATTTAGAATCACCTTAGACGGGTCTAATATAGATTTGATTGGTTTCAGTTGGGTCAAATGAGCTTGTATCGGTCAAATTGATCTGGAATCACTCTAAATCGACTTGAATCAATCAAACTAGTCTGATTCAAATAACTAAAGAGCTCAAGTCAACAAGGGAAGAGGGAATTGGGCTAGGTTGCACAGTGATAGCCTAAACTAGGCAAGCCCACTTGAGACTTGGACTAGTCTTATGCGTCACACATACTTGTCCCAGGTAAAAGGTTGGGCTGAGGTGCGACGAGCTTAGCACAAGGGGATACAACATGAGTTGGACCATGCCTAGCTCGTGGGCTAGGCCTATCTGACCTCACGAGTTGGGCCTACCTATAGCCTCACGACAAGGCTTGGTTAGTCACATGGTCTAGGTCGTACTTCGCCACATGGGCAAGGATGATCCAGTCTGGCCTATTAACTTGACATAGATCATACTCAAGTTTGACCCCTTTTATTAGATTTTAATTCTTTTTTTCTTTTCAGAAATACTATAAAATGTTACATAATGACAATTAAAGGTAAACAAATTATCAAAATAAATAGTTCATTAAACTTTCAAAATTATTTCATTAAAATAGATTTCTAAATCTATTTTTATGAATTAAATAATCTAATAAATTTATGATCCCAAATTCAAAACTAATTAAATAATGAAAATTCACACATAAATCCATGAAACAAAGATATGTCAAATGAAATGAATTAGAACTATTATTTTAATCTAAAAATAAGAATTTCAACAATAGAATCAATCTTAAAATTCATTTAAACTAAAAGACAATTATAAGTCAAGCATTATTAAAATGAAATTCCATCATAATTATTTTAACATCGAAAATATGCATCATAAAAATTATAATAATTTTAATATCAAATATTTCAAAATATAAATTAAAACTTATAAGAAAATAATAGAGGATCCTACCTCTCCTTAGGGATCCTTTCCTTAATCCTCTCGTTGTCAAGCTCGACGAGGAATGAAAGAGAGGGAACCCTCTTTAAATAGGAGAAGATGAGTCCTCTGAAAAGATAAGTAATGATTTAATTTTTATTTTTTTATTTATTTTTATTTTACTTTTACACAAAAAGACATAATTGTAACATTTATTTCTTATGGTTCACATACAAAACTAGAATTTGAAATAATTATTTCCTAAAAGTCAAATCACTCATTACGAAATAGATATAACTAATAATTTTTAAATTAGTTAATTAATTAATTGACTAAATCACTAATTATTTTTTACTCGAAGGAAATCAATTTTAATCATTTCTTCAATCATATAATACAAATAAGGTTATTAATCATTAAAATAAGGAAACACATTAATTATGGTTATTTGCTTTAAGGTAAGAAAAAAATCTTACGTCATAACATCCTCCCCTTGTCTCCTCTTCCGATTTCATCCTTCATTGAGTTAGGGATTCGTCTTCCTCTAAAATTCTTTAATAGGTCAGGAAGAGAAGGGTTTCTGTGAAGAAAAATGGAACGCATGGACTTGTAGTTAAAGAAGCTTACTCCCACTCGCTGGTAGCAGATCGAGCTCCACCGGGTCAAGACTGGGGGCCTCGTCGTCAAGCGCGCCAATGATAAGGGATCAAATTCCTCGTACCCATCCAATCGCGATACCAACCATGTGATCATCAGAATCTTGGCCCCCAACATGGAGATACGAGGACTAGAGGGACAAGGGACAAGAAACGATCACTATTTATTTGACCGAGTATTTCATGCATGCATCATTATATGCTCAACTAATTTGTTTATGCGATCCAGTTCATTTAATTATCTTCACATGATCCAGTTCATTTAAGGATAAACTAAAATATTTCTTGACTGACTAAAGATAAACAAAGACGTCTCTTCTGAGTGTTTTTTTTTCTCCCTCAGATCAAACTCTATCATGGTGCATGTGAAGCATAGCTCATTGGTCGCTCTATGTCGTGACGAGTCTTCCGACTCCATTTACGGTAGCCCTTTCCTACTCAGGCTCCCTCACCATACCCAAATACTTTGTCGGATCTGATATCAAATGTCACGACCCTAGCCTAATAAGCTAACTAGCCCATCAACTTCGTTTGACCTAAATCACTAGTCAAAATGCTTAAGCTAAAGTTGATCGAATACCTCGTACCATCCGATTGTGTCACCGATGATGTGATTGTCGAAATATTGGTCGTCGACGTAGAGATCCGAGGATATGAGGGACTCTCCCCTACCTATCCTATAGGGTTGTGTCACTAGTCGAGTGACAAAGTGAGATGGAGCACATTGTCACAGATAAAGCTATAAATAAGGTGTTCAATGTAATGCTCATGTATGTCTGTGTCTTTCGATTTTGTTCATGTTTTGTATAGCATATAGAGGGTTAACAGTAAGTTTGGCAACCCCATTTTGGTTGGCTTTGATGATCGTTTTAAGCTTGTAAAAGAAGGTTGTGTTATATGGGCAATTGTGGGGATTTCGGTCTGTGATGGACCATCTTAGACCCTTTGTTGTACTATTGTTTAAAGCTTACGAAGTCTATGTTTATAATTTGCATTACCTATAAAGTATTTGCTGAAATGACTGCTTATGAATCTCGAGTAAAACGTTTTCTCTAAACTGTCTTCTCTTTTGTAGGTCCTTAAAAAGACCCTAAGAGGTTTCGGGGATGCTGACCCTTTGCGGACGGACACGCAAGGGTGCCGCACGTCTTAGGCAAAACCAGTTAAGTCCGTGACAACGTGGCGATGGTGCTGGGTTTTGCTAATGGAGGAGGCACAATGGTGTATGAGTTTATCGAGGTTTATAATGAGCACAACAAGGGGCAAGGGCAGCACAAGTGTGTTGGGAGTGGATGCATGTGGTGCTGGTGATTGCAAGCGAAGGGGTGATGGAGGGAGGTGATTAGCGGTGAGCTTCTCAAGGGCGGACAAAGAAGTGGAGACAACATCACAGGGCGAGACAAAGAGAACAAGGATCGACGTCACTGTGAGGACAAAATGGATCGAGGTGGCCAACTATGGTGACTCGAGGGCGATGTGATGCTTTGCCTCAGCAGGGCGATTGTGCCTCTCTCGTTCGACCAAAAGATAATACTATCATGCCCCTATGTATTTTTTTTCAAAAGATAGTTATATATTACTTCAAAAGCTTATTACAAGCTATATCTTACTCAGCTAAGCACAAAATGAGACTAAGCTTTGGATGCCAATGTGAAATTCAAACATGATCAGTCATAAATTTCTTGTTATAACTAGCTAGCTGATAGTCACACCTATCGCCCTCTCTAAGGATATGATCTACCCTCCACTCTAAAAAAAGGACAACAAAAAGATCCCTAATAGGATTAGTCAAAAACCAAGGAGAAGGATCTTCCTCCTTCAAAACATTTATAATCCGTTTAGCATCAGTCTCTATAAAGAGTTTTGTCATGCCCAATTAAATGGTAGCTTAGTTTGATTTGGATTATGTTGGGCATTGACGAGGACATCAAGCCCTTGAGTGGGGGGATTGTGAAACCCCGATTAGTCCCACATTGGAAGTGGACAAAACTAAGATTGACTTATAAGGGTTTGATGGGTATACTACTATCAACTTTAGCTTAAGTTCAACAAAGTTGATAAGCCAATTAGCCTATCAGGTTCGGGTTATAACAAATTTGTCTAGTGATAGCTTGGAAATGGGTTTGAAGACAGATCGCTTGGTGCTTTCAACCTTAGTTCTAAGCTGGACTCTTTGTTTTCAAGCACCAAAATTTTCTCTTAAAGACGAGGAAAAATTAATAGCCCTGGCTAAGCCCTTCCTCT